GAGTGTTCTCATATTTCAAGTAGTTTGATGTTATTTTTTAATTTAAATTTTCTCTCCTTCTGTATCCCTTGAGTTTTCTGGGATGGTACATAGTTAATCACATCTGGCATTGTACACTTTGTTGTTATACCAGAAATTACAAAAGGCAGTGTCACCTAATTCACATGCAGTTATGTGGATTAATGCTGAGACTCAAGTCATGGCCTCATGTCTGCAAGGCAGACCGAGCCACATCCCTTGGGCCCTGATGTTAAGTCATGTTTGGAACTTAAAAATGTCTAAAGGTCAGAGAGCTCAAAGGGCTCTTGGGGTTCATCCCTGGAACAAGTGGGGATGTGCTGTTTAAGTTCTTGCTGTTGTTTTCTGTACCACAAAATGTGGTACAAAGCATGAAACCCAAGAGCAAAAAGTAACCTTCACAAACTTAGAACAAATATAATCTATTATTGTCACTCAGAGCATGAAATTTAATATTTGCTTTATTTTAGATGATGGTCAGGATGTACATTTTGCTTTAAAATTTTGCAGAAATTAGAAATTACAGAGGAAATTTAAAGATGCTATATGATAATAATTCAGAAAACCCTTGGTCCATTAACCAAATAGATGACTATCGTTTTATTAGGTTAAAGTATAAATTATTAATTCTAGTAGTGATCAATTTTTATGTAAACAGCCCACTGTTATTTTATGGTGCTCTAAAAACTAATATTGTATTAAGGATATAAATAAATTATGGCTACAAATGACATATATATTCAGTCACTGCAGTAAGGGAATTCCCTCAAATGAAATGCATCAGGATGTGGACTCTGTCCAGATTTCAGAGCAGTGCTTAATCTGAAAGTCAATAACATGATGTAAAGTGACAGCAAAATAATGTATTTCCACCCACTTCACTAAAAGTGGGAATAATTTATCTATTTTATAATTAAAAAATTATAAGACTATGTCTATTGGACAGGAAAAAATGTGGATTGGTTAACACTGGAATACTCTTGATCCATCTTTAAATTTGACTTTTTTCTTTGGTTGGTTGATACTTAAGATGAATTTCCACTAAGGAGAAATTGACAATTATTTGTTAAATAAATGTATCACTGTCACTGTCCTTCCCTTGATCATCGATTTGCTTGAGCAGGCCCAGTAACGTCTCCATTGGAGACTTTGTTGTTACTGTGTTTGGCATATCGAATACATCACGGGTAGCTTGCAAGGCTCTGCTGTGCGGGCGAGATACTCTCGGTAGCTTGCCAGGCTCTCCCAGAGGGGCGGAGGAATCGAACTCAGGTCGGCCATGTTGGCTGTGTGCAAGGCAAATGCCCTACGACTGTGTTATCGCTCCAGCCCAAATGTATGTATAATTTAAATATATGTAAATAAAACTCAGATGTTGTCAGGAGCTTGGAAGAGGAAAATATAGGCATAATCCTCCAAAACATTCAACCTATAGTTTCATTTGAAAGTTGTGATTAAACATTACAACTAAAATGCCAAAGGAAAACCATGTTGTCCACTTAGCATACCCAAACATTTCAAATTCACTCTTTGTTGACTTCCCATCAGGGTTTAAGGGTGCAGGTTTTTCTTTTTTTCCTTACAGAGCATGTTGAGTTACATAGTTCTTTTTTTGCTGTTGGAGCAGAAAGGATAAAAATGAATTTGGAACAGAAAGGGATAGAGATTCATACTGCATTTTGCTTAAGGTATTTCTTTCCCCAAAGTAGGAAATCATCAAGGACTACAACTTGTTCCCATGGGTTGGAACAGTTTATAAAGGAAGATAAAAATTTAACCATATTCTGGGTAGGGCACTTTCCTTGCTCAAGGCCAACCCAGGTTCGATCCCCACCACCCCATAAGGTTCCCCCAAGCCCTGCCACGAGTGATTCCTGATTGCAGAGCCAGGAGTATCCTCTGAGCATTGTTAGGTGCAGTACCTGTTCCTCCTCTCCAGGAAGTGCTGACACTTGCAGATGATTGTTATTAGTTTTAAAAATGGTTAGTGGAGTTTGTTGTATTTATATTCTTACTTCAAAATTTTCTTTACTGACTTTTTTTATTAGGTCTTAATTTTAGTTCATTAATATGTTTCTGTGCTGGAGCAATAGCACAGCAGGTAGGGCATTTTGACTTGCACGCAGCAGGCCTGGCCGAGCGGGGTTTGACTCCTCCGCCCCTCTCGGAGAGACTGGCAAGCTACTGAGAGTATTTCACCCGCATGGCGAAGCCTGGCAAGCTACCCATGACGTATTCAATATGCCAAACATTGTAACAACAAGTCTCACAATGGAGACGTTACTGGGCCCGCTGGAGCAAATCGATGAACAACGGGAGGAGAGTGACAGTGCATTCTTGTCATTATCTGGAGCTCCAGGAAAGTCATGTCTGTATTATGAATTCTGGTTTTTAATTTTACTTGGGAATTTCAAGATAAGAAAAAATTGCTGGTCATATATTGAATATTATCTTATTAGTTATATTTAAGTGGTACCCTGAGTTCTTGGAATCTTTTGCTTTCTCCTCTGCCTCTGACTTTGACTGTGATTTTAGACTATGGCTCTATGCCTGTAACTTTAGACTGTGTTTGGTTTGGTAAAGAGTGGATGTCTTATTCTCTGTTGGAGTCTAAATTTACTTCCAGTATAATGTAAAGGTTTACCGTCTAACATAGAAAGGGAAGCTGAAGTCTTTCT